TTTTATTTATTTATTATATATATATATATATATATATATATTATTTATATATATATATATATATTATTTTTATTAAAAAAAATATCTCTCAAATAAATAAAAAGATTTGAGGAAAAAATTTCATAAAAAAGATAAATGCAAATTTCTATTTTTTGTATTAAAAATTATTTTTGTTTACTTATATATAATATTAGATCTTTCAGCTAAAATTATATATAGATGCTTGCATGAGAAAAATATAAAATAAACAATATTCATCTTTCCTCTGCCTGAATAGATGCCAAGCATAACTCTGAGTTAATTTTCGATTTAAATTCTTGTGAAGTTGTTTAGAAAAATGCAATTGAATAACATGTATTATTTTTAAAATGAATATTAGAGAATGAAATCTTATAAATATGTTTTGCTTTCAATAGATTTTACAACTTCCTGTTTTAACTATAACTTTCTAATTGTAGGTTGCTGGCAAGCGCGAGGCAAGCCAGGAAGCTGAAGCTCAACAATGGATGGAGACTGTAATTGGCGAGAGATTTCCACCACGTGAGTTTCTAAAATAAATTGATCAAAGTAACGTTTTATCTTAATTTATGAAAAATGTCTAATGCACAGCATTAGACATTTCATTCCTATTTACCTTATATATATACAGATAAAAATGTTCCTAAATTTTATAAAATCTAAAAAAATTTATTCGTTAGAATAATTCAACCGAATCATTGTTTAAATTAAAAAATACAATTTTCTTACTTTTTAAATAGTAAATATTTTTTTGAAAGAAAATATTTTTTGGAAAAAATTGATCTCACTTTTTTTCCTCTCACATTTTTATTAAATTATTCAAAAAATTTCATTATTTTAATAAAAATACTGAATTTCTTATATAAATTTTTATCCTATATAGATATATTTTTTGTCATTAGGTTTCGTCATAATAGTTGTATTGTCAAAATTATACTTAATTTACTTCTATCTTGGAGCCTCCTCTTATTTCGAAGGATTTCAAAGTGCAATCCTCCTTTTTGAGGATCCATCTTTGAAAAATTATTTTACTAAAAATAGTCGAAACGTTCTTATAATACTCTTTTATTTTATCCTAGTGTAGATTTTATTTACGAGAAATAGTAGTTCGTCGCATCCATCTGGCGGCGATGCTGCATATTACTTGCGAGTTAATATTTTATTTCATTTAGTGTAATCAAAGAACATATTATTTCATCAAAAAAAATTGTTTCAAACAATCGAATTTTTTTCTATCACAGTAATATAATTAAACGCAATATCGTCATTCAAAAATATAAATGTTTTATATATAATTATATTTGTTTGAATCAAACAAATATGAATCAAATAGGCGTATAAAATATAAAGAAATCTTCAATGTATGTATACGTCTACTTTATAACACACAATTAATAAAAATGTGTGAAACAATTTCTTTTATAATATGAATATTTTCCAGTGCGCATCTTTCTTCTAAAAGTAGATAAAATCGATGCTCTTATATAAGAATCATGCATTTAATGATTCTACGAACGCATATGAACTCCTGTTCCGTGATGAGAGTCCGAAAGCGTTGAGAGTCCAAGCGTTTGCATCCCCATCGGAGTGAAATGCTCAGCCAAAGGGGCGGAAGCGTGTACCGTTATCTAACTAGAATCACATAATTGCCGGATACAAATGTCAGGTCGCGTGACGTCGCAAAGGTTAAGCTTCTCGTCGAGGTCAGTTCCCCCATATAGAATACTCGTCATACGATCCAAAATGTAATTGTGACGACGAGTTTGCGCGGTACAGAATGATATTGATTTGAAATGTCTACGATATAAAATGATACTATAATTATGAATTATTTCTTATAAATTATTATCATAAAAATGAAATCATTGGAAGAAATAGATGTAAATAAAAATACGAGAAATGTGTAAATATAATTTACGTTACAGCAATCATTCACATTTCATTGACACATATATTTTTAAAGGAAATATATTTATATCTTCAAGTATTGTAATTATTTTGACGATAGTGTTTTATATAATTTTCTTTTTATTTCATGCAAGACTTGTCGATAAATATACAGCTATGACAATCCTTTGTGAAATTATATCACTTGAATAAAAACTAAGCGAGATAGAGAACCTATGTCGAAGTTGTGTCAATTTTTACGATTTTTACGAGATTACTGAACTCTGCTTGAACCACCGAGGGTAGTTTTACCCTCCTGTCGCATTATACTCGCCTGGCAAAACGCGCGCTTTGTTACGTCATTGCGAGCCACCCTATCGAGCATGTCTCGGCAGACGACCCTCGATTCGGCATACACCCCTGATGCGACAAACACGCCAGGCGTCGACGCAATCGACATTACTTCACGTACGTTTGCGCGGCTCCGCTTACTCCTTCGCCAATCGTTTCTCACCTATGAATAATCGGACTAAGATGGACGCACAAACTGAAAATCATATAAAATTTCATTGAAATTGATATGTTGTTAATCATTAAAAGTATCATTCGTGATGCAGTGTCGTATTATACTTTAATTAATAATCCTTAAATGAACTAATAATCTTGCGCGCGCGCGAAATAAGGAAATACAGTCATAAAAAAGAGGAAAACTTTCTATTTCTACATCTTCTCATTTCTACTCAAAAACTTTTCATTTTTTATTGTCAATTATTTCAGTTTACTAATATAAATAACTTATAATTTTATTTATTAATTATATAGTAAATGTATCTTTTGTATTTTATAGAAAGATTCGTAATTGTAATAAGATTCCAGTAATAGCTTTATCTTTCCTTTAAAATTAAGTATTATTGAAGAATTATTAGTTATTATTAAATAATAAACAGTGAATCTAAATATTGTATTTCCAGCATATTTAAATAAGTAGGAATTTAAAAGAAAATTTTCTTTGTGATGTATTCAATAAATTTTTAACAAACTTCGATTTTCTCGCTGCTTCTTAACCGCGAGATCTCGTCACGGACATTCGTTTTGATTGGCTACCGCAAACGCGAATTTTCTTTCTGTCACCTTTGCCAGAGGCTTTAAGTAGACAAGAACTTGAAATGTACTTGATAATACTGATTAAGTCGAGTATTTAGATTTAACGAGCCTCTACCTATGACTGTCATCCTGGTTGTGCCGAGGACGCGATGGAGGTGGCCAAACGATGAAACCACCCCCACTCGGGCACATGATTAATCCCCACTAGGAACTTCGGTACTTACGACCATCAAGTGGGGGTCTTCTCGGTTTACAAGAAAGCTCTCTTGAAGAAATGACAGCCTGGTGTTTGCAAACCTTGAGCATATACCTGTCGGAAACACGCGGGTCCAAGCAA